ATGACCCCATGCTAGGCACATCTTTGGTTACCGGGGAAGGCTCCTGACACCTGTGGCTTTATGGGTGATACAACATGCTGAAAGCATTCTGTCGTACTTCTGTTTTCTGGGACTCTCAAGGTTTCTTTCCTTAGTGGAGAGAGGCTGGGGGTGAGAATAGGAATTCTGACTGAGTCTGGCCACTGGTTGGCTTCCCTAAAAGACAACATAGTGAGCAAGGGTGGGAGAGTCACGGTTACTTTTACCAAGGTCAACTTTAGCCACATCCAGTGAACTCGAGTTCATTATACTTTTTCTGCTGTTACTAAGGACATTTTCAGTAGTGGGGGAGGCGTGGCTTAAAAATCAGGCTTGATAGAGAAGAAGAAATAAACAGATATGTGGCTGCAATCCTAGCACTCAAGAGGGGCAAACCGGAGGTTCAGAAATTCAAAGTCGTCTTGGCTACACACTGGGTTCCAGGCCAGCGTGGACTATGTGAGACCCGGCCTAGAAAAGAAATAATACTGTCCGGTGGGCACTCCGTGCACAAGCATGCCTCATCGGCGATCTCGGCATACCAGACTCCGTGCTAACACATGGCCAGGCACAGAACACCATCCTGGTGCTTTCCCCCTGTTCCCTGGAAGAAAAAGGCGAACAATTCAGGAGGCTTTGCTCAACCTAGCTCATATCCTCTACACCTCATATTCTGCCTCTCCACCACATCTTCCTCTGATGAGGAATTGCTAGGAGAGGAATGATTCAGTATGTTCCTTCCTACACTGTCCTGGTTTTATTATTGTTGTTGTTGTTGTTGTTGTTGTTGTTGTTGTTGTTGTTTTTTAATCTTCACCCTACATGAGGCTCTTACACAGAGTCAACAGCATCCTGGCACACACACACACACACACCACTCCTGAAAAGACTTCTATGTTGAATATTTGGGGTGCTGAAGAATCCCTAAATTCTCACATGCCAGGCCTGGGGGTGGCTGGCTTCTGGGGTGCCAGATGGGTAGAAGGTACCCCACCCCTCTCCCATTCTGCTGTTCACTCTTCCACGGTGAATGGAAGCACGGAGTGAGCTGAAGAGGCCCTTTTCTGCCGCGGCTACCTCCTTTCCTAATGAGAGTGACAGGGAAATTGGATAAAATTGGACTCCCTCAATTCCGAGACACTTTCCATTGAATCTTAAGACAAGCGGTTTTAGAAAACTTAAAATACTTTGACTGTAAATGGCACTGTACACATAAATGGCATCGGATTAACTAAATGCAATTAGCCGAGATGAAGGCGGTAATAGTGGGAAAATGGATGCAAAGTGACGCAAAATGGCTCCGTAGGACCTGACATCCAAAGGGGGGTGAAAAGCTGCCTTAGCCAGAGACAAAAGCTAAAAGGCTCAGAGAAGGAGAGGGCTAATTGAGAAAATAAGGACCCAGTTCCCGACCCAGAGTCTGATAAAGTGTCTGGAAGGGAAGCACCGCCACTTTGTGCACTGGAGACCAGAAGAGAAGCACATTTCTGGGATTCACAGCTCCTCTGTCTGGGAGTGACTGGCTCCTCCCGACTATGTGGCTCCTTTGTTCTCCCAGCCACTGAGACTGACTGGCAGCCGGCTCTGCCTTAACTAGAAAGAGCCTCCTGCTGCACTGCGAGATCATCAGGGAGAAGTAGGCTTCCCTGGCATAGGAAAGGCCATGGAAGTTGTTAACGAGGAACAATCTAGATAAGAACGCCCCTGCCTGCTAACTCTCATGTTCTCAGGCGCTCACAGATACTCAACTTTTTCTTCTTTTTCTCATTTGAGACAGGAACTCACTCATGCCAAAGCTAGCCTTACCTTCTGTGTGACTGATGATGACCTTGAACTTCTAATCCTCCTGCCTCTACCTTGGAGTGCTAGGGTTGTAGACCTGAGCCACCACACCCAGATTTATATGGTGCTGGAGAATGAACCCAGGGCTTTGTGAGTGCTGAACAAACACTGTACAAATCGTGCTACCCCCCCCCCAGCCTACACTTTTTAATAACGTTATTAGGAAGCTAGGCACAGTCATGTTCAATGGAATCCCAATCCTCAGCAGAAGGACCATGAGTTCAAGGCCAGGCCGTAGTGAAACCCCTTCTCAAAAACAATGATCATGATATTTGGAACTTTGCAAATTGGATGTCGAGGCATTTCTAAATGACTACTACTTTGATAAAATGCCTAATTTTGAATATGAAGGAACCCCACTGGGCTTTGTGTTCCTGATTATAGAAATGGATCTGTGTAGCTCTTTATAAACAATTCTAGCTTCTTTCCCTTGTTCACAGGATGCTGGGGCAGGGGGTGCTGAGAAAGAGAGTCTGGTGTCTGTTTTTGAGTAGAAACCATCATGGTGGGGCTGGAGGGGTATCCATTTGCAAAGGCAGGCAGTAAGGGTAAAAGAGAACCCAGTGAGGACTGGAGGGGTGGGTCTGTCAGTAAAGTGGTTGTCATGAAAACATAAGGACCTGAGTTCAGATCTCCAGTACCCAGGCATGGCCTTGTGCACCTAACACCCCACTGTTAGGAAACAGAGACTAGAGAGTTTTGGGGGCTGATGGTCAGCCTGTCTAACCAAGTCAGGGATGCAGGTTCACTGAGAGACCATCTTAAAACAAGGTGAAATGATATTGAGGGATGCCCAGCATCCATTTCTGGCCTCCATGCACACGCACACACACAAGCACCCATGCACACACAGAGACTCCCCCATAATCACAACTCAGGAGGTCAGAGGACTTTCTCTGAGAGATGATCCCAGTGGGTAGTTGGAACAGAGGCTTCATGCGCAGCAATTAAACTGGTGGCAGAAGCATGGGCCCCATCATCTTGTTTCCTCCCTTTTGGCACTGCCCACTGTGGTCTTTTCCCAAAGGATCCTGAGGCAGGCACAGAACATGTGTGCTTTTCCCTGAGCTTCTCACTGCTGCTCACGGAGGCAATGGTATTGTCACAAAGAGACACCCAGGTCTTGACAGCTCAGTGGAATAATTGAACTCAGGAGTACCAGCGTCAGCAGGCTCTCAGGCCACTCCCCAGTGAGATAGTGAGCAATGCCCTGCAGTGTGTCACCCATGTCTGGAGCAGTGGCCTACATCCACTATTCCTTGTGGATCCATTCCCTGGCTTAATAAGAGCATCAGTGGAACTCAGGCTGATTGCCCAGTAAGAGAAGGGAACGGCCCACTGGGACACTTACACCGAAACCAGGCCTGAGGACATGCCCACACATGCACAGTGAAAAGGTACCTCACAGGTCTACAAGCCTGGGAGCCAGCGAAGGGAACACCCCGCTGCCCTCTGAGGCCTGGGCATCACGTTACAGCCCCGGTTACATCAGGTGAGGTGAGGGAGTTTGTGATTCCTATTCATAGAGCGGAAAGGTCGTCCAAGAGTTGTCTGTTCAGACCAGGTGGAAACAGGAGCAAGCATTCCCACTGGGGGTGATTAAAGCAAAGCCAACAGCGAGTCCTCATGGCTACACAAGCACTGCTATTGCCGGATGGCGTGTTCAAAATGCGCGTCAGAGATGCACGCTTGCTTCTCCTCGGGCCAGAAGCACAAAAGGGTCTCAGGTGACAGTCAAGCTCGTGAGCGCACCTGAGAAATCCTTAGACCATTAGCAAAAGCGAAAGTGAAAACAAGAATATTTTTAAAGATGTTCAGGGTTCGGTGTGATGGCTCAATGGGGGGGGGGGCCGCCCAGAAGCACTTGCTTTGTAAACACAGGCTATGAATTCAGTTCCCCAACCCCATGTTTTAAAAAAAAAATGTGTGGTGGTACAGACTTGTTATCCTAGCACTGGGGCATGCGTGAAGCTGGCCACCCAAACTCTCCATATTTGTGGGGTTGTAAGTTGTTGACAGCCTGTCTGGTTAGCACCTGAAGAAGAAAACCCAAGGTAGTCCCCTGGCTTCTCCATGTCCACTGTGGGTGTGCTGAAACATTCCCAAGTCACTTCCTCCTAAGTCTGGAGACAGACTGTGCTTAGAGTCGATCTTTTGATAGTATGAGGACAGATGTAAGTTATAGCCTGGTTCCCCGTGATACTGAGGTCAAGGTCAGCGGTACTCAAACAAAGTCTACTCGGTGCCTCTTAGAGCAAGGCTACCAGTGCCCTGGGGGTTCCCAAGAACTGCATCTACTCCTTCTGCTGGTGCCCAGCCCAGGAAAATGTCTTTGTGGGTAGGTAGGACTTGGCAGGAGAGAGAGGAAAGAGCTAAAGACCTGTCTGGTCTCCCTGACACAGAGTTTTGTCTCAACAGGAGATGGCAACTTCATCTATTCCCAAGCTGATGAAAATCAGAAAGGCAAAGTTGCCCGGCTGGTGAGCCCCGTGGTCTATTCACAGAGTTCTGCTCACTGTATGACCTTCTGGTATCACATGTCTGGCTCCCACGTCGGTACACTGAGGGTCAAGCTGCGCTACCAGAAGCCAGAGGAGTACGATCAGCAGGTCTGGATGGTGGTTGGGCACCAAGGAGACCACTGGAAGGAAGGGCGTGTCTTGCTGCACAAATCTCTGAAACTGTATCAGGTATGAACCCTCACACAAAGGCAGGACTGGGGCTTTGGGTCACTGGGATGTGGGGAACACTTGCCCACCCTGAGCTGTTGCCTCTGTGATGTTTGTCTTGGTGACACATCTCACTGTCTCTTAGATGACAGCAGGGAAAAGGGAAACAAATCTTCATTATGATTCACTTCTGAGATGTCACAGATACCATTCCTGTCATTTAAATCTTTTCTTCCTTTATGAAAAAAATGAGTGTGAGAAGGGGTTTGAATTATCTCTGCCACTGATAGGAAAGAAAGAATGATTCTGTGACTATACTCAATCTTGCGAGTTTAACTTACTCGAAGTCTCATGAGCTGACGCCGAACCATCAGCTGGGAGAGGAAGTTTGTAAACGTTGATGTTGAAGACCGAGCTTTAAAATACTGTGAAAACCACCTCACTTTTTTTCAGGTGATTTTTGAAGGTGAGATCGGGAAAGGAAACCTTGGTGGGATCGCTGTGGATGACATCAGTATCAACAATCACATTTCTCAGGAGGACTGCACAAGTAAGGATGGGTTTGGGGCAGGAATGGACGAAGCCTTTGCCCTGGCAGAATTCTTAGCAAGTGACAGAGTTTGCCTTGCCATTTAGGGCAGAAATCAAATGCAGGCAGGGCATAAAGCTGGTCAGTATGTCTTCTCTCACTTCCTCCTCTGGCCTAGTCACTTAGAAAGTCTGATTGACGTCTCGAGGATCCACAGACTGTAACTCAGAAGTCATGTCTGGCATATGGAAACATTTTGATGGAGAATAGAACACACAGACATCTGGACCGTTCCCACGTCTGAGTGTGGAAACAAAGCAGTGGGCCTTGGAACATGTTGATAACAGAGAATTTAATTAAGATTACTTTGTCAATGAGTCACAGACACTACCATTTGCGGCTGGATTACAGATCAGTAGATGCTTCTGGCTCTGCCACTAGCTGGTGTGACTTGGCAGGTAACGGTGATGCCGAGATCTACCTGACCGGGTTGATCCACAGACGAAAGTCGGACGGCGAAAGCCAGTTCATATTCCCCAGTTCTTGATCCATGATTACAAATGGCATCGCTAATGACAATGTAATAGCACAGTAATTAGTCTTGGGCTCCATTTGCTACACTGAAACTTTTGTTATACATCATTACATAATAGGCTGTTAATTATAACAGGATGAAATAAGCCTGCTGGACAAATTGAAAACAAAGGAATTGTACTGGCTGCAGTGGGTTTCTGGTCCTGTCAAAAACTTACGAGTCTCTTATTCTATAAAACATTGACTATATGTAATCCTTAAAGGGGCAATAATTTGATACCATTAATTGAAGAAACTGTTACAAAGGAAAGCAGTGAATAGGGCTTCATTCCACAGAAGGAAGCCTCTTCAGTGCCTGGTCTTCACATGAATATGTGTATAATTATATAATTACTCACAAAATATATATTATTGAACAATCTAGTTATGGAGACTGTGAGTACGACCTACATAGGAACCATTCATTTGCACAAATTTACTAAATTGCCTATAGTGTCTTAGTCAAGATTTTAAATTTAAGAATACAGTAGGGAACTCGGGACTGACTGCACCCTATCCCGAGGCTCCATTTTTTTTTCCATAGAATTTTATTTCATTTATTTCGGATAAAGTACAGGAAGACGTTTCCTGGCTGAGAGAGTCGCTGTGCTAATTCAAAAGCCAGTTTAGTACACACCAACAGCAGGAGGCAGCTCCCAGCACACTGCAGCCTCGTAGTGAGGGGTCCATTCCCATCTGCGCTTCTCATTTTCATCTGCCTCCCACAGTCTGCATGCCAACCCTGTCCCTCTGCCCTTCGCAGGGTCTTACCAGCGTTTCTGAGCCACAGAAAGGGACACTGCTGTCCGAATCCTACGGAAGCCCAGCAGGGGGGTGGAGGGTTTCTACGCAGCTTGTGTTTTCATTTCTGTTTTATCTCGTTGGCCGCTTAAACATCTCTTTCCATTTTCTTTGCCTTGTCAGAACCAACAGACCTAGATAAAAAGAATACAGAAATGAAACTTGGTGAAGCAGGTAAATTCATCTTACTGACCAGCCTCTCTCTTAATTCCCTGTGGTTTTTGGTTGTTTATAAATAAGCATCTCTGAAACCCTCACGCACCAGGGTATCCAGGCAGTTTAGACAGAATGAGTCCCTGTGTCTGAGTGAGTGGGTGAGGACTGGATTACTGTCACAGAGTGCTGTGTGTCCTTAGCTGCCTAGGGGACTCAGGGGGGGACACTGTGAGGTTGCACTCCCAGGAGTAAGTCGATCCAATCCCTCCCTGCTGGAGCTTTTTCACGGAAACACAACCACAAAGCGGAAAGTTGTACAAGCTACTCATGTAGTCATTGGAAGTCAACAAATCCTTGTGTTTCTTGGCCTCCCAGGTGGGATCTTGAGGAAGGCTGGGAGGCCAGCTTTCTCTGAGCATCTCATCCTGTTGCTTTCCCCTGGCCCTACAGTCTGGGGGGAGCACTGACAATGGGACTTACTAAGGGACTGATTTACATGCCCAGCAGTAGAGACCCGTGATTTTAGCGGGCAAGCTTCCTCCCGTTGGACAGACAACAGGACTAATACACAAGAAGCGAAGCCAGTGAGGGGTAGCCTCGGGTGTTAGATTAGCTGTAGAATGTGCGGTTTGAGTTGGCACCTCCTCTGTGCTCAGACATAAGACACAGTATCAGAGCCAGGTCCTGGCAGTCTCCAAACTGCCTGACCAGCACTGCCCACTGCTAGCAGGGACAGCAGGGCATCACTGTCATCTATTGCCACTGGAAATGAGGTCCGGCTCTTTGGACGGACAGCACGGACCGATAGAAACAACAAACACGGCTCCGTGCTGCTGGAGATCAGGTCCACACAGCTGTAAACTTTATTAGAAGTTGTTTCAAAACAATCTTCCATCGAGGGAGAGAGTATTAATATGCCCCCAAGGCTTGTTTTCCCTTGTTTAGGGACTCGCATCTCATATTTTTAGTTTTCGCTGATTGGAATCTCAGTTGATCAGGGCACCATTAAGTAAACACCACACAAGCTGCCCATTAGCATTTCAGTCCTGCTCCTAGCTCCAGGTAATTAGGCTCAAAGCTCCCATGCTAATAACTTCTCATGTTCCACTCTAACGCAAACACATCCCTGGTGACTCCTTTGCAGAGCAGCGTGACTGTCCCCAGCAACGCCGTCAGGGTGGCGAAGTCGCTGCTTATTAAATGGCTCCTATTTGGCACAGAACAGACACTGTTTCTTAGTTAGGGCCACGGCCCTTTCTGCATGATAGGAGTAGGGATTCGTTTATTTAGAAAAAAAAAGTCTCTCTCTCAGTATTGCTAGATAGTCTGGGGCTTAAGGGCGTTCATGGCTTTCTGTGTGAAAGCCCACGAGGACACTAAGAACAGCATCCCATAGTGGCACTGTACTGGGACTGCCTGGGAGGTCAGGCAGAAGACAGGAGAATATTTTAGAACCACCTGCCAAGCATAGTAGACAACTGTGTGGCTAAAATTTGACAAAACTTCATGCCTGCACATCTGAAGCTAGGGATGTAGCTCAGCTGCCTGAATGCTTACCCAGGATACTCAAAGCTTTGGGTTTAATCTATAGCATTATATGTATTAAGTGCAGCGGTGTATTGATCCCAACATCAAAGGAGTGGAGGCAGGAAGATTGGCAATGCAAGGTCATCCTCTGCCATAGGTTCAAGTCCTTCCTGGGCTTTTGAAACCCTGACTTATCGTGACTAACTCTCTGGAATGAGAAGTATAAACCTATCTGTCACTCTCGAGTGATTTAAAGTAGGTTGTGACCTCCCAAATTCCGGCACCCTCCCCTCCCTCCTCATGCATTGCCACATGCAATGGCTCCTAGATCAATCCCTCTTCTCCTGGTTTTCCGTCTACTCATGTGTGGCCTCTCGATGTTCACAAGTAAATCTTGTCTCCTTCTTTAGGGAGCACCCCAGGATATGAAGGGGAAGGGGAAGGCGACAAGAACATCTCCAGGAAGCCAGGCAATGTGCTAAAGACCCTGGACCCCATCCTCATCACCATCATAGCCATGAGTGCCCTGGGGGTACTCCTGGGTGCAGTCTGCGGAGTTGTTCTGTATTGTGCCTGCTGGCACAATGGCATGTCGGAAAGAAACCTGTCTGCCCTGGAGAACTATAACTTTGAACTTGTGGATGGCGTGAAGTTGAAAAAGGACAAACTGAACCCACAGAGTAATTACTCAGAGGCATGAAGGCTCGGAGCTGGAGGGAGCGTGAGAGGACTGAGGTGGGAGGACGGCGGAGGTGCAGGGACTCTGCGGCTCTGCTTTCACTGGGAAGGGCGTCCGCGACGCCAAGCCAGGCTTTTCTCAGGAGCTTCAATGAGCGTCACCTACAGACGCAAGCAGGTGACTGGTAACAACCGGAATCACGTACAGCCGGCTTTCTTCTCTTGGTTTCACTGGGATAATCAGAAGCCAGTTGAGACCAAGTGTGACTGACTTCATGGTTCATCCTCTTTCCCCGCTTTTTCCTCTCTCTTCTTACCCTGTGATGGATTCTTCTCGGAAACTGCAAAATCCAAGATGCTGGCCCCAGGCGTTGTTCAGTGGGCCCTTTGGATGGACATGCGACCTGTACCCCAGTGCCCAGAGCATATTAACATAACCACGTTTCAGGGGACGCCGACATCCACCTTTGCGTCGCTACCCGTAGCGAGCGCCTGGGGGAGATAAGAATTAGACTATTTTGTCTGCAAAGTACTGTGGCCTCAGTACCCATATAGCGTGTCAGCTCTGTTTACCAAGCAATACCGACAGATTTTCTTGATGTTTTACAGTGTTGTACCGAATCTCGTGTTTGTGACCTCCATTCAGAATACCATAACATGCAGCCACCAAACTGCTGGCACCCGGGTGTCCCGCTGATGACCACCACAAAAGTCTTCGGCACTGGCTAGTCTTCGTCCTCTCAAGTGCCTTTTTGTTTGTACTGGTTCCTTGTGTCCCGTGGATGACCCACTCTGTTTCTGGTGAAAACCCTTCTTTTTCAATCAGACCTGGTGGCCCACTGACTAAGAAGAAAGTATATTTTAGCGTGCTACGCCGACCCGGGGAAGGCAAGGGCTCCGAAGACCTGGCTACGTGGCTTAATCGTTCTCCTTTTTTCTGAAGTTCAATGTCATGTCTCTTGACCCTTTGTATAAAGCTGCAATGTTCTCTCTCGTTGTTCTTTCCTATGGAATGTATTTTCAGATGTAAACTCTTGGCTCTTTCTCTCCTCCCTCCCTCGTTTTTTTCTCTCTTAGAATCGAAGCATTTGCCACTGACCAGAATGAACCTTGCAGCTTTAACCTGCTGGCGATGGCGAACCATTTTACTAGACTTTATGTTTTAAGATAATTAAGTAAGGGGAATTCCTAACTTTGTCCTCCAAAGTCTAACTTTGGATTTCTTGTTAACTGGTTTAAGTGACAGTATCTTTTTTCCTTAAGCCATGTGCCCATCCATTCTGATTAGATTGATGTTTGATATGAATGTTTTTGTCCACCGGAAGTCGTAAGTTGAAAGAGAAAGGAATACCAGCTGGCTTTCAGATGAGATCCACAGGGAACACTGAATATAATCCCCAAGTCTAAAGGACATGAAAAATTTTACATCCAGATATACGAAGTGACCCCTGAGAACCTTCCTGTTTTGTTATTGAGTCAGAGCAGGGGAATGGAAAGAACCGTTCACTTAAGAAATAAACAATAAACCTGATGCCTGAGGCAAGGCTGTTTAAGACCAGGCAGAAGGGGTGCATAAAATCAAAACCAATGTTTAGAGTAAGCCATTCAGCAGAAACCCTGAAAAAAAAAATTTAATGAATGCTTCTAGAAACTTCCAATGGCTCATAAAGTGAAAAGGCCTACCTTAGGGCTGGCAAGGCGTAACCCTCAACAGCACAAAGAGGTAGCTATCTTAACCCAGAGCAGCTTCTGGCTGGTGGATTCTGTCTGGCTGAGCTGAACATAAGAACTCCGAATTCTTCCTTCCCCGTGTGGCTGTAGGTCTCAGTTGTGTTTCTTGGAGATCACATTTGCTTCCGGGACGAATGGTCTGTTCACTTTGGTTTAATGAGATTGAGAATGTCTTTTTTCCAGGAAAGTATTGATCACTTTAAAAAAAAAAAAAGACTATGTTTTTATTCCCAGGGGCATCTATTCACTTGTTACAATCATCCTGGGAGGAAAGCATTAAGTGAGACTTTGTTACTAAGGCAACAGACTTGACCCTCGTCCTCAGCCAAGGAAAAATGATACTGCAACTTTAAATTTTAAAGTACCTTGCACTGATAAATATATTTAAAAGTTATATGTTTATAAAGTTATTAATTTGTAAAGGCAGTGTTACAAAATGTTCAGTTTATATTGTTTTAGATTGTTTCGTAATTTTTAAAGGTGTAAAATAACATATTTTTTCTTTATTGAAATCTATAAGACTTTCTGTAGTAAGATGTCTCATTTTCTGGTATATTATTGCTTCATGTTTTGTACCCTCATAAAATTTTGTGCAAATTTTTTTTACAGAAATTTTTATTTTCTATGATGATATGTATGACACTTGTAAATTGTTCTTTCAAAATGAACAGCGAAGCCTTAACTTGAAATGACATTTGTATTCTCTGAGTAGCATAAAAAAAACACTTAGAATGAACTGTAACTTAAGCTCCAAACTACACATTCCAAAGAAGCCGTTGAATTAAACATTTTCATAGAAATCCCAAACCTGATGGCTGTTATTCCATTAGCTCTGTTCTTGCTAAAGATATTGGGGTCAGTCCACTTTCTGGTCCCTTCCAAGGTTTGAGTTATCTTTTCAAAATAAGCTCAGAGTGGACAGAGAACAAGGAGACGCTTCCCAGAGTGGGAATGCGAAACCAGGTTTTCTGGGGGTGAGCGAGCCAGAACTGGCCTCTTAAGTGGACATTTTCTCCCCCACCTAAATTATATTGGCTT